AGAGACAGAGAAAGGTCTTCCTTTTGCCGTTGGTTCACCCTCCAATGGCCACCGTGGCTGGCGCGCTGCGGCCGGCGCATCGCGCTGATCCGAAGCCAGGAGCCAGGTGCTTTTCCTGGTCTCCCATCCGGGTGCAGGGCCCAAGGACTTGGGCCATCCTCCACAGCACTCCCGGGCCATAGCAGAGAGCTGGCCTGGAAGAGGGGCAACCGGGACAGAATCCGGCGCCCCGATGGGGACTAGAACCCAGTGTGCCAGCGCCGCAAGGCAGAGGATTAGCCTATGGAGCCACAGCACTGGCCATGATGTTTATTTTTAATGTAGGACTCCTTTTTAGAATTTGCTGTAAGATTGGTCTGGTGGTAGTAAATTATCTGTTTTTGCATACCTGGGAAATACTTTATTTTTTCTTCACTTCTAAAGTATAGCTTCACTGGTTATAATATTCTTGATTGCAGGGTTTCTTTTTTTTTTTCCTTTTAAGATCTTGAATATATCATCCCATTCTATTTTGGCCTGTAGGGTTTCTGTTGAGAAGTCTGATGTTAGTCATATTGGTTTTCCTTTATATTAAATGGATGCTTTTCTCTGACTGTCTTTAAGATTTTCTCATTGTACTTCACTTGTGAACTTTTGACACTGTGACTAGAAAATCTTCTTGGAGATTTTTTTTGGCTGAATCTGCTAAGGGAAATTTGAGCTTCTTGTACTTGGATGTCCAAGTCTCTTAAGACTTGGGAAGTTTTCATCTCTCTCTCTTTTTTTTTTTTTTTTTTTTTTGAATGGAGAGTGAGAGAGAGAGACAGAGAGAAAGGTCTTCCTTTGCCATTGGTTCACGCTCCAATGGCCGCCACAGCTGGCACACTGCGGCCAGTGCACCATGCTGATCTGAAGGCAGGAGCCAGGTACTTATCCTGGTCTCCCATGGGGTGCAGGGCCTAAGCACTTGGGCCATCCTCCACTGCCTTCCCTGGCCACAGCAGAGAGATGGCCTGGAAGAGGGGCAACCGGGACAGAATCCGGTGCCCCAACCAGGACTAGAACCTGGTGTGCCGGCGCCACTAGGTGGAGGATTAGCCTATTGAGCCGCGGTGCCGGCCATTTTTCATCTCTTATTTTAACACCCTTTTCCTTCTCATTTCCTTTAGAAATCTGTATAACAGAAATAATTTGTTGCTTAATTGTACCCCATATTTCACATAGGCTTTATTCATTCTTCTCATTTTTGCCTGATTGGTTATTTCAAATGTCTTCCAGATCAAAAATTCTTTCCTTCACTTGGTCTATTCTTCTGTTGAAGCTCTCAATTGTGTTTTTTATTGCATTCATTGAAGTTTTCATCTCCAAAATTTCTGTTTGGTTCACTTAATAATTTCTATCTTCTTAATGAATTTTTCATTCATGTCAGCTATTGATTTCCTTGTTTCTTTAAGCCGTCTATCTGTATTCTCTTGCATTGCATTGAGTTTCCTTACATTCATTATTTTGAAATCTATTTCTGGCATTTCATAGATTTACATCAGATCATGATCTAATTCTGGAGAACTGTTATGTTCTTTTGGAGACATCCTTATACCTTGCTTCTTCATCTTTCCTATTTCCCTACATCAACATCCATGCAACTAGTCTAATGGTCCCTCTTCTTTCTGAAGTAGGTTTTATTAGAAAAGAGCATATTGTTTACTGGGAATACAGGTATCACTTGGTTTGTTGCTTTGGCTTTGGTTCTAGGTAAGCCAAGAAGCATCACCTCTGAGTGAGTTCTTTGCTTTAATCAGTATCAGCTTGCCCAAGTAACACGGTGCTCTAGTCTGCAGCAGTTCATAGGGAGTAGAAGTGTGACTTTGAGGTTAATGTGGGCTTTTTAGGGTGTATATCTTCAGTCCCCAGAGACTTCACAGTTACACTATGGATTGTGATAGCCAGGGCCTCATTCTTGGTGCTAAGGGATAAAGGGGGGCTGTCTCTTTGTCCTACTGGCAAGCCTGAATGATACTGGGAATTTTGGCACCAATAGCTGTGGCTCCAGGACTGTCTGTTGTACATGAGCCCTTCCCCAGGGTCTACTGGGAGAGTGCAAATGATGCTAGGACTTATTACACCAAAATCCTAGTCTCAGAACATTTGCAATCCTTAAGTACTCAGATCAGATTTCAAGGCCACTTAGAGACTTTAGAAGAGGATATTAGTAATAGAATAAATGGCTTGCCATGTTAATATTTTTAAAATCTACTTCTTAAAATACAGCTAAGCTATTAGTATATTTTTGATATTGTAATGTAACTATATTTATCATGTTAGTGTGATATTTGATGTAGTGTTTCTAATTGGAAAATCAAGAAAAAGTCTTTTAAATGAGTGTTTTTATCACCCTGTCAGCATGTTAAATTGAGAGAGGCTGGTGTTGTGGAGCAGTGGATTAGGCCACTGCTTGCAATGTGGGCATTCTAAATATGAGTGCCAGTTTGAATCTTGGCTGCTCTGCTACCCATCATTCTCCCTGATAATGTGCCTGGAAAGGCAGCAGAGGATGTCTCAAGTGTCTGGGCCTCTGCCACTCGTGTGGGAAACCTGGATGGATTTCCTGGTTTTAGCATTGACCAGCCCTGGCTACTAGGGCCATCTGGGGAGTGAACCGGTAAATGGAAAATTTCTCTGTCTGTCAAATAAAGAAATAAGCAAGTCTTTTAAAAATGATAGAATATTTGAAAGCAGAATTTTCCTGGAAATTTTGAGATGTCCTGTCACTGTAAAATAGGCCAGCATAGTGAATAATATGAGTCCCTAACCTCAAGTATTTGTTCCATTTCATCTTATGTCAACCATGAAAATTATCATCAATATTTAAATGATGTTTCATATAAATTAACTTTTCTTATTTATCCTTATTTTGGTTTTCCCCACTTATTATATCATTGCTCTGTACTTCAATCAGGAGATATTAGGTTATATTGCAGGAACAACCAACAAAAATCTTGGAGGCTTAACATGAAAAAGTTCATTTCTGTCATGTTGGATGACCCTGATGGGCTAGCAGAGGGGCTCTGCTCTTTATAGTCACTCAGGCAGACAGACTTGTGAAAGTCTATCTGGACCTAAGTTTTCTGTCACTAAGCCAGACAACAGGTAAGTGTGAAAAGTCACACACTGGTTCTCATCATTTCCATTCAGAAGTGACATGTGAACACTGAAACAGAACACAGCAAATCCACATATCAAATAAGGCAGAGCAGTACAATCCTCTCATATGTATAGAAGAAGATCAGGAATACTGGTGAACAACTTGACTGACTGGCACAATGGGAGTGTGCATGTGGGTGTGTGCACAGGAGTGTGTGTGTATAGGCAGAATATAAAAACACATTCTTCTTTCTGTATATATGAAATATATCTGGAATATCCAATACGACACTAACATAACATTATTTTTTTCAAACTTAGAAAAAAGTTGAGCTTTAAATTAGTTTACATATGCCACAGTATAAATATTATTAATGTTTCTAATCATGCTACAAATTTAGATCTCTGTTTTAAAGCAAGGACTTCCTCCAGAAATTCTCAGTTACTCACCTACTGATAACCTTCGCCCAACTTAAATCATTAATTCTAATTTAATAAGCTTCCTTTCATACTCCCTTTCCTCTTCTTCACTCCTTGCCTCCAGAAATTTCAGTGTTCATTCTGCAATGATAAGAAAAATAGGTATCTGTGTGAATTAATGAAATAAACCCTTATATTTAAATATATTTTATTAACATAAAGAGAACAGATTTCATGTATGTTAAAGATACAATTTTTTTTTTGACAGGCAGAGTTAGACAGTGAGAGAGAGAGACAGAGAGAAAAGTCTTCCTTCCATTGGTTCACCCCTCAACGGCCGCTACGGCCGGCGTGCTGTGCTGATCCAAAGCCAGGAGCCAGGTGCTTCCTCCTTGTCTCCCATGCAGGTGCAGGGCCCAAGCACTTGGGCCATCCTCCACTGCCTTCCCGGGCCACAGCAGAGAGCTAGACAGGAAGAGGAGCAATGGGGACAGAATCCGGCGCCCCAATCGGGACTAGAACACAGTGTGCCGGTGCCACAGGTGGAGGATTAGCCTAGTGAGCTGTGGTGCCAGCCCAAAGATACAATTTTAAGAACATAGTGATACTTCCCTTCCTCTCTCCCTCCTCCTTCCTTTCTTTTAATTTTCATGATGACATCTTTTCAATTTATAAGTATATGTTTAATACTCCACTACATATAGTATTTTTTTTTTATTTTATTTTTGACAGGCAGAGTGGACAGTGCGCGAGAGAGAGACAGAGAGAAAGGTCTTCCTTTTACTGTTGGTTCACCCTCCAATGGCCGCCACGGCCGGCGCGCTGCAGTGGGCGCATCACGCTGATCCGAAGGCAGGAGCCAGGTGCTTCTCCTGGTCTCCCATGCAGGTGCAGGGCCCAAGCACTTGGGCCATCCTCCACTGCACTCCCGGGCCATAGCAGAGGGCTGGCCTGGAAGAGGGGCAACCGGGACAGAATCCGGCGCCCCGACTGGGACTAGAACTGGGTGTGCCGGTGCCACAAGCCGGAGGATTAGCCTAGTGAGCCGCGGCTCAGGCCACATATAGTATTCAATAAGTAAAAAGTAGAAAGACCACTGTTCTACAGGAATATAGCCAAGGACTATAAACAATAATCAAATCAAAATTGTCAATTTCACTCTTACACATTCACTTTTTTGTGTCGTATACATTAGCTACCACAAATCATGGTATGATATCACAAATGTGATTTTTTGGGGGTTTGACTTGTTTAATTAACCATAATTATCTCCAATTGCATCCATTTTGTTGCAAAAGACATAACTTTATTTATTTATTTATTTATTTACATTACAAATTTTAGAGTCAGAGCTGCCTATTTCTTAAATTGTTATAATCAGATTGAGAAAACTGGGAAATAAAAAAATTATAAGTTTTAATTGGTTTTAACTCTAAATGGCACTTGTTTTCCTTTTATAGGTATTTCATGATGTTGCTTACAAAGCTAAAGATCGTAATGACCTGGTATCAGGAATTGACGAATTTCTGGATCAGGTTACTGTTCTCCCTCCTGGAGAATGGGACCCAAGCATTAGAATAGAGCCGCCCAAAAATGTTCCTTCCCAGGTATGTATATTTGAAAAAACATTTTTTAAAATCCCAGTATGCTGTTATTATTTAAATGCAAGTCATAACATAGTAGAATCCATCAAAATATTCAAGTGATTAAATTATAACCTCTAAGAAAGCAGAAGCATGAAGTTACAAAATTTTTCTTGATTCTGCTACAACCCAATATGCCTCACAGAGAAATTTGGCATTTTTTATGATAAACCATTAAATTTAGCAGTTCCATGTAAGCAAAAGGATTTTAGATCCAAGTTGAAACATACTACACCAGAGAAAAATTAAAATTTTAACACTATAAAATAAGGCCTGAGAAAAATCCCATCACTGGCCCATCACTTTAAAATTGGCAAGTATTAGGAAAATTCAAAGCCATGCTTACTCATGTTATGTAGAAAATTCTAATACTGCTAATCAGAGTAAAATTTGGGAAGAGCTTTTAAAAATTACAAATATTATATTTATATAAATTTTGAGTGGTTGTATGATATAAAAATTGCAAAAATTTTCCAATTTTAATTAAAATTAAATTTAATTAAAATTCTCTAATTTTAATTAAAATTAAATTTAATTAAAATTCTCTAATTTTAATTAAAATTTAATTTAAATTTTCTAATTTTAATTAAAATTAAATTTAATTTAAATTTTCTAATTTTAATTAAAATTAAATTTAATTTAAATTTTCTAATTTTAATTAAAATTAAACGTGTATCCTACCCATCACAAAATCATGAAAGATTGAAATAAAGAATGCTTGGGGTCATTTTCTTGCCACATGTGTGAGTGTTCAGAGCAGTGACCAAATATCAAGTCTATTCCTCATATTGTCACCACTGTTTCTGCTTAATCTCCTCCCAGAACCATCTCAACTATCATTTATTCACCCTTGCTTATGGCCCTGCCCTTGTGGAATCCAATCTGGTTTGACTCTGCTGTTCTACCTAAAGTGACAGATTGCCTCATTGACTCAGCCCTGGACTGAGAAGTTTTTTTTTTTTTTTTAAACTTTTATTTAATGCATATAAATTTCCAAAGTACGACTTATGGATTACAATGGCTTCCCCCCCATACCGTCCCTCCCACCCACAACCCTCCCCTTTCCCACTCCCTCTCCCCTTCCATTCACATCAAGATTCATTTTTGATTATCTTAATATACAGAAGATCAGCTTAGTATACATCAAGTATGGATTTCAACAGTTTGCTCCCACACAGAAACATAAAGTGAAAAATAATAGATGATTTTTTTTTAAATGATGATGAAATCAGAGCAGACCTATTGTCATGTTTAATCCCAGTGAGAGTCAAGTTGGGAATTGATAATTTCTTTTTTTTTTTTTACAGAAGATCAGTTTAGTATGCATTAAGTAAGGATTTCAACAGTTTGCACCCCCATAGAAACACAAAGTGAAATATATTGTTTGAGTACTCGTTATAGCATTAAATCTCAATGTACAGCACATTAAGGATAGAGATCCTACATGAGGAGTAAGTGCACAGTGACTCCTGTTGTTGACTTTACCAATTGACACTCCTGTCTATGGCATCAGTAATCTCCCTATGCTCCAGTCATGAGTTTCCAAGGCTATGGAAGCCCTCTGAGTTCTCCGACTCTTACCTTGTTTAGACAAGGTCATAGTCAAAGTGGAGGTTCTCTCCTCCCTTCAGAGAAAGGTACCTCCTTCTTTGATGACCTGTTCTTTCCACTGGGATCTCACTCGCAGAGATCTTTTGCCAGAGTGTCTTGGCTTTCCATGCCTGAAATACTCTCATGAGCTTTTCAGCCAGCTCCGAATGCCTTTAGGGCTGATTCTGAGGCCAGAGTGCTATTTAGGACATCTGCCATTCTATGAGTCTGCTGAGTATCTCAGTTCCCATGTTGGATCACTCTCCCCTTTATTTACTCCATCGGTTAGCGTTAGCAGGTACTAGACTTGTCTATGTGCTCCCTTTGACTCCCAGTCCCTCCACCATGACCAACTGTGAACTGAAACTGATCACCTGGAACAGTGAGATGGCAATGGTACATGCCACCTCGATGGGATTGAATTGGAATCCCCTGGTATGCTTCCAACTCCACCACTTGGGGCAATTCAACAGGAAGATATAACAATTATCAATGTATATGCACCTAACTACAGGGCACCAGTTTATCTAAAAGATTTATTAACGGACTTAAAGGGAGACTTAGACCCCAATACAGTAGTACTGGGGGACTTCAATACTCCACTCTCAGAAATAGACAGATCATCCGGTCAGAAGATCAACAAGGATACAGTAGATTTAAACGACACTATAGCCCAAATGGATCTAACAGATATATACAGAACTTTCAATCCTACAGCTAAAGATTTTACATTCTTCTCAGCAGTACATGGAAGCTTCTCTAGGATTGACCACATACTAGGCCATAAAGCAAGTCTCAGCAAATTCAAAAGAATTAGAATCATACCATGCAGCTTCTCAGACCATAAAGGAATGAAGTTGGAAATTAGCAACTCAGGAATCCCTAGAGCATACGCAAACACATGGAGATTGAACAACATGCTCCTGAATGAACAATGGGTCATAGAAGAAATCAAAAGAGAAATCAAAAACTTTCTGGAAGTAAATGAGGATAACAGCACAACATACCAAAACTTATGGGATGCAGCAAAAGCAGTGTTAAGAGGAAAGTTTATATCAATAGGTGCCTACATCAAGAAATTGGAAAGACACCAAATAGATGAGCTTTCAATTCACCTCAAGGATCTAGAAAACCTACAGCAAACCAGACCCAAATCTAGTAGGAGAAGAGAAATAATTAAAATCAGAGAAGAAATCAACAGGATTGAATCAAGAAAAACATTACAAAAAATCAGCCAAACGAGGAGCTGGTTTTTTGAAAAAATAAACAAAATTGACACCCCATTGGCCCAACTAACTAAAAAAAGAAGAGAAAAGACCCAAATCAATAAAATCAGAGATGAAAAAGGAAACGTAACAACAGACACCACAGAAATAAAAAGAATCATCAGAAATTACTACAAGGACTTGTATGCCAGCAAACAGGGAAACCTATCTATCAGAAATGGATAGATTCCTGGACACATGCAACCTGCCTAAATTGAACCAGGAAGACATCGAAAACCTAAACAGACCCATAACTGAGACAGAAATTGAAACAGTAATAAAGGCCCTCCCAACAAAGAAAAGCCCAGGACCAGATGGATTCACTGCTGAATTCTACCAGACATTTAAAGAAGAACTAACTCCAATTCTTCTCAAACTATTCAGAACAATCGAAGAAGAGGGAGTCCTCCCAAATTCTTTCTATGAAGCCAGCATCACCTTAATTCCTAAGCCAGAAAAAGATGCAGCACTGAAAGAGAATTACAGACCAATATCCCTGATGAACATAGATGCAAAAATCCTCAATAAAATTCTCGCCAATAGAATGCAACAACACATCAGAAAGATCATCCACCCAGACCAAGTGGGATTTATCCCTGGTATGCAGGGATGGTTTAATGTGTGCAAGACAATCAATGTGATACACCACATTAACAGACTGCAGAAGAAAAACCATATGATTATCTCAATAGATGCCGAGAAAGCATTTGATAAAATACAACACCCGTTCATGATGAAAACTCTAAGCAAACTGGGTTTGGAAGGAACATTCCTCAATACAATCAAAGCAATCTATGAAAAACCCACAGCCAACATCCTATTGAATGGAGAAAAGTTGGAAGCATTTCCACTGAGATCTGGAACCAGACAGGGATGTCCACTCTCACCACTGCTATTCAATATAGTTCTGGAGGTTCTAGCCAGAGCTATTAGGCAAGAAAAAGAAATTAAAGGGATAAAAATTGGGAAGGAAGAACTCAAACTATCCCTCTTTGCAGATGACATGATTCTGTATTTAGGGGACCCAAAGAACTCTACTAAGAGACTATTGGAACTCATAGAAGAGTTTGGCAAAGTAGCAGGGTATAAAATCAATGCACAAAAATCAACAGCCTTTGTATACACAGACAATGCCATGGCTGAGGAAGAACTTCTAAGATCAATCCCATTCACAATAGCTACAAAAACAATCAAATACCTTGGAATAAACTTAACCAAAGACGTTAAAGATCTCTACGATGAAAATTACAAAACCTTAAAGAAAGAAATAGAAGAGGATACCAAGAAATGGAAAAATCTTCCATGCTCATGGATTGGAAGAATCAATATCATCAAAATGTCCATTCTCCCAAAAGCAATTTACAGATTCAATGGACTGAGAAGTTTTTTTGGTTAGTCAGAGGTGGGCAAATTAGCAGGTGTACTACTCAACCATGAATGCTTAAAAGGTTGTTTCAATGCCATGGTCAATTTAAAGAAAATATACAAACATCTTGCTTTTCTATTTTCATCCTGAAATTATTTCATAATTGTTAGATAATTTTTACTTTCTTTATCTCATCTTTTTTTCTGTAACTGCAACCACACAGTTTCAGTTGATTTCTTACTAAAATAAATAAAATTGCTTAAGCAGTAATTTTAAGGACTGTAGATTGTCTAATTTCTATACTTATGTATATCTTTATCCTAATAATATTGCAAAAGGTAATATAATGCTTCTTGAAGTAATAAGAAATTCTTTAATTGATGTTATTTGGAAAAAAATCATTGAAAATATTAATGTATTGAGAGTGAGACTTTAAAAGTCACTATATTACCAATTTATCCTTCAAATGTTAAAGGTGAAGTCAAACATTTTTAAAGCACTTTCATTTTGAGGAATAGTGTTTTTGAGGCGAGTTGAAGGATGAAAGGTTTTATTTTACATTATTTTATGAGATTTCCTAGAATCAGAATTTTTATTCTGAGTATTGAGAGGCAGAAGTAAAAAGCACATTGAATTTAAAACTCAAGGCATTTGAGTTCTTCCATTATTTATTTGAGTTTGAACAAATGCTTTAATCTGTTTATACTTATTTATATCACCACTGTCTACTACAACTTTCTGTA